ATCTCATTCCAGTCAGAATGGCAGCTATTATGAAGACAAACAACAATAAGTGTTGGCAAGGATGTGGGGAAAAAGGTACACTCATACACTGCTGGTGAGACTGTAAATTATTACAGCTAATATGGAAAGCAGTATGGAGATTCCTTGGAAAACTGGGAGTGGAACCACTGGGAGGGAAAGGGAGTGGGGCATGGGATTAGCAATGATGGTGGAATGTGATAGACATTATGATCCAAAGTACATGTATGAAGACATGAATTGGTGTCAACATACTTTATATACAAACATTGTTCTGTATACATGTAGTAAGAATTGTAATGCATTCCACTGTCATTTTGTTAAAAAAATCAATAAAAAAGAAAATAACTGAGAACTTTTCTTAGTTATCTGCATACAAATATATTCTCCAACTAGGGAGAATAGTCAATAAAGTGTTTCCAAAGTGGGCGGGGTGGGGGAAGAAACCAAAATGAACTTGCAAATACTGTACTAAGAACTTTTTAAACTGAGATGTTCCATTTCATCAAAAACATTTGTTTTTTATTTGGAACATAGCTTAAGAGAAACAAAGTAATAAATGTTTTTCATGCTGCTGAGTTAAAATAAACAAGAAATTTTGATATTCTGGTGCACACTAAAATTTGAGATACATTAGAAGGATGGAAATATAATAGGGTATGGAAAAAATGCATTTTGAGATGTCAACTCACTGAATTAATAAGGGAAGCTTTTTAATTTTAAAATGAAGAAATAGGGCAGAATGATATAGAGATGATTTTGTCCTTTGTATATAGTCTTTTAGAATTTCAGCTTTGTTGCATTCAGGCTTCTTCTGAGGATGCTGTACTTTGGTTTAAACTGCTTGTAAGTACTTCTATTGACAACTTTAAAAATGGATTAATTTTTAAAAATCTAATCCTTTCACAACTTTTTTCATGGCAATCAAAGATGGGGTTTAGAACACTGTAGTTGAGTCATTCTTTGTTTCTTCAAGGTCTTGATATTTCAAAGTCCATCTGATGTCAGCTAACTAGGGATAGGGAAGCAAGGAGATACCATTAATCTACCAAATGGCAGCTTAGGCTACAGATTTTTTGAAACCTTAGAAGTTAACATCAAAGCTTTTGCGATAACTTTTGAGGGGTGATTTTAGTGAAGGAAAGCATTTTCTGTCAGCAATATAGAGTAAGGGCAACATTAATATTGGTTCAAGTTCAAGTCAATAATCTTCATTAAATTTGTCTTAGCAATAAAAGTCACCATTAAATATTCCTCAAAGACAAAGTTAAGAAACCAAAATGAATTTACAGATACTGTAGCAAGAACGGAAATGTGCCATTTCATCAAAAACATTTGGTTGTTATTTGTAAGACAGCTTAGAGAAACTAAGAAATAAATTATTTTCATATTGCTGAGTTAAAATCAGACTGCTTCACAAAATTTTCTTTCTTTGTTTTAGCAAAGCATAATTTTTTGTATTCTATCTTATTTAAATCCTTAAAAAATAATCTAGTGTGTTTATTAAAAACATGATAAATGCAAAACAAATAGGTTTTCTTGGAGATGAATATATAAAAGAAAATTGTAGGAGGAACTTGTGTGCAAGGCCTAGCTCTCAGATTAATTTAACCTTTTGGTTTTTCATCTCCCTATTGACTCATTGTCCTCTACTTAATGCTAAGAACTGATAAATTTCTTCATATGGTTCTACTCAGTGGTAAGGAGAAATTTGTGTATCTCCTTTTGACATTTCACTTTGAGACTTATTATGGAAGATGCATTTCGCCCCCTCAGTAGTCTATACAAGTATTCATGTAGTTAGCGGAAATTGTGCTTTTACTATCAGTGCAAGAAATAGGCACACAACTTCTACTCACTACACGAGAAGAAAGTGTGAAGAGTTGATTGGCAGTAACAATTAATGTCGCCCAGATGGTATGATATCATTATGGCAGGATTACCCAGAGGAAGCAATTCTGCTCACTCACAAAGAAGACAGTACAGAAGTTAAAAAAAAAAGTGTAAAAGTTCATATAATGCAGTTTAAAATGACAATAGAAAATGGAAAGCAGTATTGCAATTTGGGGATAAATTTCTAAAAGGAATGCAATTTAATGCACAAATTTCTCCAAATTTCAATATTATTACACTTGGGGCAGATAATTATATCCATGAAGGACATATTTATAGAGATAACTATGCTTGTGCATAGCTTTCCTAAAGTGAAAAGATCAGATTGATACAATTAGCTATCAGTCAACTTCACTGGTATTGCTTTTTTTTTTTTTTTTTTTTTTTTTTGCATTGGGGATTGAACCCAGGGGCACTTTACCACATCCTCAGCTCTTTTATAATTTTTTAAATTTTAAGACAGGGTCTTAGGGTTGCTGAGGGTCTTGATAAATTGCTGAGGCTGGCTTTAAACTTGCAATCTTTCTGCTTCAGTCTCCCAAGTTGCTGGGATTACAGATGTGCACCATTGGTATTTCTTTTTTTAAAATATATCTATATCTATCTATATATACATTTAGTTGTACACAATACCTTTATTTTATTTATTTATTTTTATGTGGGTGCTGAGGATCGAACCTAGTGCTTCACCCGTGCTAGGCTCTACCACTGAGCCACAACCCCAGCTCCCCCCTGGTATTTCTTTAAGGTCAGTTTTTATTTTTCTCTTCCTCTCTTCTACCTTCCTATCTTTTTTCCTTTTCTTCCTTTTTTGATTTCCTTCTCTCCTTTCTGTTCCCATCTCTTCCCCTCTTTTCCTTCCTTCCCACTCTTCTGAGCTATTCAGGAAGGAGATGAGGATATGTTGATATGTTGATTATTATATTTCTGCCACTGAAGAATTTTTACCATGTTCAGAAAAATCTATGAGATATTGAAAGAAGATTTGTTTTTGTTTTAAACTTTTTTTTTGTTTGAGGGAAAGATTTGATATAGTCCTCTTTGTCAGAAAGCAAAATGGGACTGGAAACACACACACACACACACACACACACACACACTACACACACACACACAAGCATCTATACACTTCACTTTTTGTTTGAAGGACTTTCATGTCTACTTTACAGGACATTATAATGTTCTATTGTAAAAAAATGTTTGCACAACTTATAGAGACATGACAATACAGCTTATATTATGCAATAGAATTCTGATACAATTTTAAGAGAGGAGAGCAAAAGTAGGTGTGGAGAATGAGAAGGAAATGATAGTCTTTTGCTAAGTAGTCAAATATTGAATTCACTGTATTTTTGAATTACAATAAACTTTGATCTACTTGGCTCAAAAAAATTCAGAAGGAAACTGCCTGAGCTAGGCTGCAAGCAAATGTTTGATATACTTTTGACTTGTTATGGCTCTGTGTGAGAGGAGAGAAAACACTGAGCAAATATTTGCACAGTATCCTGAAAGGAAATAAAAAATGCATTACAAGTGAATTAGTCAGTTGACCTCATGTTGTTTGATTACAAGTAATTTCAGTTGGATTGTCTCATTGCCTGTAAATGCTTTTCCTTTGATTCTAATAAGGACTCTGCCATAAATAGTTTGTGAGTAGCTTCATGTTTCCTTTCATGATTCCAGTGGACATGGCAAGGACCTCTCTCCCTCTACATGGGGCCTGTGTTTTACATCCTACAAAGACCAAACATAATTGCATTTAACCTATCCTTTCTTCAGAAAACACTTCTCAATTGTCTCTAGTTTCTCAGTGTTATAAAATAAAAGGGACCAGGTATAAGGGTTCTCTAAGAGGAGTTAACACTTATTTTCATTTCTATGGTAATTAAAATGCATAAATACAATCATAATTAGAAAGGATCTTAGACACTGCAGGCAATTTCTAGTTTTGTAGTTTGGATCGCAGTTAGTTTTGGGCAGTAATAGTAAGTATCATAACTTTACCTGTCACCAGTTAATGATAGGACAGAGACTGACTAAAGGCTTACATGATGTGTTTGGGACCCCAAATAGTTCCAACAGTTGTTGTGTTCCTGAAAGTTTTTCTGGAAATAGAAAAAAGGAAAATTCAGTTACCTATACATGTTAGTTTAGATATGTTAAACTCGAATCTATATATAATATAATATATAATATATAGATATAATAACAATAATGTAATAACAATCAGTGTTGAATGCATATGGAAGCACCAATTTAGTTTCATCAAAACATCATCACTTTACATTAATGTCACCAATTTGAATTTTATTGACTTACATTTTTAACTTATATTCATGTAAGGGTACTATTTAGGGTTCATATTTAGGTAATGTAATAAAAATGATTTTGGTTGGAGGTATGTGTGTTAATTTTTTCCTGTATAAAGGTTTTACCCTTGAGTGGTGTCAGATAAACACAGGCAGACATTTAGTTTATATTCAGTAGCAACTGATAGTAACTGAATTCCATTCCAGTTTCTGCACAGGTGACTGGGTGTTTTCAGGGAGGATGGAGGGGAGGAGAGGGAGAACTACAGGATCCTGAGCAGAGTTAGAGCAGTAACAGATTACAAAAACAGGAAAATGGAGGTTGGCCCATGTGAAACCCATTGGGTTTGCTCACTGGAGATCATTAAAATTAGACTTCCATCCTTCCAAGACTTCAGGGAGACAAGGGCCCTATCTTTAGGTATTTTCTGGAATCAACAGTAAACTCTTTTGCTCTGTGTTTTCTCAGGCAAACACTCTAAGGGGGTGGTTCCTGTCATCCTAAGGATAGGTACTTGGATTGCTAGAAATGATATTAGTGTTTCTTCAAATCTTTAGCAGTCAAAGTTGAGGCTTAGTTGAAAAGAGGGCTCATAGGAGCCTGGCTAGAGTTTGGTCAAGGAGGGAATATTAGTGATAGTTACGAGTAGTAGTAAGCCTCACTTTTTTATGATAAACAGTGACTGCTATTTATTTACCATTATTAAAAAAGCTTGACTTTAAAATCTTAAGTCTTAACTGAAATGTATGTGAAAGGTGATTTTTTTTGTTTTGTTTTAGGGCCGAGATCTGGATTATAAAATTCAGGAATATAAAGGATCTGGGAAAATATTTTCAGAAAATCAAATAAGAGAATGGTTTATCCAGCTGTTGCTAGGAGTTGACTACATGCATGAGAGGTATGTTCATTTGCTCCTGGGGATCAGAATATATTTTAACAGTCATGTCTGTGTTTAAAAAGTGATTTTTTTAATTAAATTTGAAAGCAAACATCAGAAAGGTAAGTTGCTATAGTGAGACATCTTTTTAAAAATCTTTATTCTTTTTTCTTGAGTAAAGTGTTGAATGATTATATCCAGAGGTTTTACTTTCATAACTTTTATTGTTCTAGAAATCAAATTGGCTCTGAACACAGACAGAAACTTGTATTGAATACATTTCCTTGTATATGACATCTGTGAATTATAATTGATTCTCAGATATCTTAGTAGACTATGAATGCATTGTATATTATAACATGATTAAGTTATAAATTCCTGGGTATGCCACAAATGAATTGTGTGGTCACCTTAGAATGTATTAGTGCACGTTTAGCTGGGTCCATGTCCCAAGTAGAGCTAAGTAACTGATATGGAAGATATTCTTTGGTCTCACAGAGATAAATATTGAGACAGAAAGTCAATTTTGATGTGAAATATCTGATAATGAAGGTCAAAGTATGTTTTATGAGTTTCAGTTATCTAGACCAGCATTTGCTTCAGCATCTCTCCCTCAATGATATATTTTAAAACTTTTTTATGATTATTCTATAGGTTAAAAGTAAGATATATAGGATTTTAAATGTCTTATAGATCCACAAAATCATACAGATGCAATTGAAAAGGTGAACATACACAGATAAAGTGGATAGTCTGAGGTGCCTGTGGTAACACTCACCTTGGGAGTGATGTTATATGTGATAACATTCTTCTTGATCAGAAGTGGTAATTTGTAGGCTACACAAAGGTCTGGCTATTCATGGATATCAGATTGCTTAAATGTGTCATCTTTTTTTTCTAATAGCATAAAAAGTAATCAAATTATCCTGTAAATTGACATATGTCTTCTGAAACACATGCTTGGTGATGCAGATAGTTACTGATTCATTGACAACTCATAGCAATCATTGGGCTAATGTCAAAATGTCCTGAGACAATTATGAATAAATATAAAAATTACCTTTTAATAAACTACACAAAGCTGCTGACTGTAGACTTCCATGCACATATAGTCATATTGATGTTCCTTTTTGTTTTAAACTACTTCCAGTTATGCTGTTAACTTATAAGGAAAACAACTAAACACACACACACACACACACACACACACACACACCCCAAGACTATGGCTTTCATATGCAAAACATAAAACTGAAATCTAGTTGATTTAACAACCCCCAAAATTTTTGATGCACTTGAGGCTGCTTAGTAATTATGTAATAATTAAATAAATAAAATGAGAAATAAATAATTAAAATAAATGAATTTAAAATAAGCTTTAAAAAGAGAGGATTATATTTTTGTAATCCTTCAATATTCAAAGAATACCATTAAATGCAACTAAGTATTTGGATATTTGTGGATCTGTGGATCAGAAATACCATCCTTTGTGATTTAGATAACAAATGATGGTGCATTTTATTTATTGCTATTACAACAATCAATTATTGTAAAGTTTTTATGTATAGGTGGGGAAATGCCAATTTTAAATTTAGGTTCATTTATTCATTCACTACTTAGTTATAAATTAACAATAAATTCTAATCTTAAAGAACTGTTAGTAAACTAGCAGAGATAAAACTCATACTCATGTAGCTATAAGCCCAGTGGGTGCCCAGGATTCATTGTCTTTACTATGTAATAGATTATGAACTTGGGTAAGTTTCATAATCTTTCCAAGCCTTTGTTTCCTCATCTATATAATAGGGATAATACTGGAACCCTCCCTGCTAACTTTGTAAGGCTAGATAATAGATAATATATATTGAGATATTATACATTTTAAAAGATTACAAATGGTTAAGCTCTATGTAACTTCTTGAAAGAGCTGGCATCTGATATAACATAGGTTTGGAATATGGTGAAAGATGGGTCAAGAGCTTTCTTGGTTTGGGGGACAGAGTGAGCAAAGGCACAAAGATGGGAAACTGGCACTTTTAGAGTAGTAGTGGTTCAGTTAGAAAGGCTCTTGGAGTGCATGAATGAATAAAGTTATGGACAAAGGTAGGTTGAGATCAAGAGAGCTTTATTTTGTAGCATACACATTGTATGCCACAGGAGCCTTTTGAATGGAGCTATGTGACCAGCATTTGCTTCAGGAAGATTAGATGATAAATTATGAGGAGAGAGGGAACTTTGGTTATTAACTGAGTTTATAATATCCATGCATGAGTTTATGAGACCTGAACCAAGGTGGCAGCAGTGTGCAGGGTTGGGAAGGATTAGAATTAACTAAAATTAAAATGATTGGACTTGAAATTTAAATGGTTATGTGAGATGTGGTAGAAGAAAGTCAAAGATGAATCTGAGATTTTCTGCCTGGTTGAGTGATAAGTTAGATAGTTTTGAAACAATGGTGTTGAGTTTAATTGTGAATATGTCGGAAAGAACATGGAGAATGAGGGAAAGGAGGAGAGAAAAAGAAAGGGGGGTGATAAGGGAGTTAGAAGTGAGGTTCTAGGTCTTGAGGAAATATCAAGGCTTGTCTTTGTTTGGGTTCCTCTAATATCAGAGTCCTGAAATGAAGTCTGGTGTATAAGTAGTTTATTTGGGAGATGATGTCATGAAGCAGAAGCCAGCATGTGGGAAGAGTGAGACAAAGAAGTGAGAAAAGCTATGCAGGGTGTTGTATTGCGCTGGTGCTGCTGTAGGTGGAGAGATCAGAGGCAGGATTCCTCCATGTGTATTTTGGGTTTTGGATTCCTCTTTTTGCATTCTCTCAGGGATTTTTTAAAAATTCTTGACCATATGTAACTGTTGTTTCCTAGCACCATTATGAGTTCCCTCTTGTGTAATATTTTATATTTTGGGGAATTTTGAATGGGACAGAGAAGGCAAGTGTCTTCATCTTGATCCAAACTCCAGAATAATTCTTAAATGGAGAAATGCTGCATATTTTTATAGTCATAAATATATGAACTAATTTTACTTCTGTTATTTTTCAATATTTAATTTAGTATTTAAGATATAGTTCCTTCAGAAAATAAGCACACTTAATTACTTGTTTTAAAAACCATTTAAATCCAAACAAATGATTTTTTTTTAGCATGTGGCATAAATGCCTATAAATAATGATATTAGGATCCAGGAAAAGTCACTGTTCACTAAAAGTTACCTTGTGAATGTAGCAACAAAACTCATTCCTAAGATGGGGAATCATGCTGTGTTAATAAAACTCAACGTCTCCTCTTTTTTCATATTGCATTTTGGCAGTAGTGGGTCATCTGCATGTCTGTTCTATTATTCATATTATTATTCATATTATCATATATTCATATTCTATTATTATGCATGTCAGTCTTATTATTCCACCCAAACCGGAAGAACCAGCTCCTAATTTGGACTTGCTTTTCTCATGGCAGAGGGACAAAGGAGAGGGCAACATTCAATGGCTCTTAGAGCTTTTGTTCAGATATGACAATAGTCCTTTATGTTTCACATGCCTTTGCCCAGGGAAAGCCACGACCAAGTACAATAGCAGAGGGGTGGGGATGACTTTACCTCCCAAAGGGAGCATTCACTGCAAAGTACAAAAGGTGTGAATATTTGAGAACAAAAATATAACTTACTATAATGGTTCACTCAGCTTTACATCTTTCAGGCTATAAGCAATAAAAATAGGTCTGTCTACAAAGCATTACTTTAGCTTTTTTCTTATACAGTTTGTAGTATATATTAAAGTATATTTTGAAAATTACATAGATTGCTTACATAGGAGTTAAAGAGATTACTTCAGAAAGAATACATTCATATGAAGAGGTTAGATTTGCCAACTCTTGCTAATGCACTGCAAAATATTTTAGTGCATTTATGGCTAATTTTATGTCAACTTGAGTGGGCAACAGGGAGCCCAGATTAAAAACTGTTTCTGGGTGAGTCTTTGAGAGTGTTTCAGGGTAAGATTAGTGTTATGGTTTGGCTATGAGATGAGCTCCCTGTCCCAAGCTTCTTTGTTAATGCAGGAATGTTAGGAGGTGAAATGATTGGATTGTGAGAGGTATAACCTAATCATTTTGAATGCACTGGGTGGTAACTGTAGCCAGGTAGGGGTATGGCTGGAGGAGGTGAGTTACTGGGAATATGCCCTAGAATAGTACATCTTCCCTAAAGCTCCTTCCCCCTTCCCTCTCTCTGCTTCCTGGCTGCCATGAATGGAGCAGCACTCCTCTACCACACCCTTGACCATGGTGTTCTCCCTCACCTTAGACCCAGAGCAATGGACTCTGTAGACCACGGACCAAACCTAGGCAATGGTAAGCCAAAATAAACTTTACCTCCTCCAAGTCATTCTTTTTCACCTGTTTTGGTCACACCAGTGAAAGTTGACTAACATAATTAGCATTTGAAACAATGTACTCAATAAGGTAGATCTATCTTCTTGCCCAGTATGAGTGGAAATCATCCAGTCCATTAATGGCCTGAATAGGACAAAAGATGGAGGAAGATGAACTTACTCCTTTTTTACTTGTCTCACTGTTTGAGCTGGAATAACTCATTTTATCTCATCTCATCTCATCTCATCTCCCAACTTGTACAGGGATTTACACTTTAGCTCACGTGGTTCTCAAACCTTCAGACTCAAACTAATTGCATCATTGGCTTTCCTGACCCTCCAGCTTACAGATGCCAAATTATGGGGCTTCTCATGTTCCATACTTGCATTATTTATTGTATTCATAAATAACATATTGGTTTTGTTTCTCCGGAGGACCTTGACTACATAGTACCAGAGGAGATAAAGACAACCCTGAAAAAACTAAGGGGAATAAGATAACAAGAAGAAATGAAGATTTTGTTCACAACTTTGTAGCTCCCCTGCACTCATTTTAATTTGGTTTATTTTTATATTTGGAATATTCAAAACATGTAGCATATGGCATAAACACATAAATAATGCTGTTAAAAGCTGAGAATAGGGCTGG